CTTTTAATCTTTGTACTAGATGTCGTTACTAGTCTATTGGCCCTAATTAAATCGCATCGCGACACTTGTGAATTATGAAGAAGTAATGATTTACAAAATGCATCAATACATTATAATGATAAAATCACGTTGCTTTGTACCAATATGTATGATAATGTAAACTCCCTTCGCGTATTTATTTGATTGAACTAATATTGCGAATGTATCACTGTAATTTTAATTTACTTGTGAATTACACGTGCATTATGATCAATGGATACATGATCTATGTACATTCTTGAAATACAATCTATATTCGTGTCAATTTCCAATAATGCCCGTCGGGTTGTTTAGTTGTGATAGAATAGAATATAATTAATTGGAATAAGACAATTCAATATGTAATATTAAACAGTTAGTCTTCCTGAAGAATCTAATAGAAAATTCTTTATTTTAGTAACCTTTAATTTAAGTAACTTGAAATAGTCATCATTGTTTTTTTTTAATCTACCACTCATTCGGATAGAGCTGCTTGGCGGATGAAATAGATGAGACTAAGGTACATACGTAGACGACTTCGTATTACAACTCCACCTCGATCAAAATAATAGTAATCTAAGTTGGTGACCACTAGGGTTTTGCAAACGTTTGATCAATTTAGCTCTACTGAAATTAACAATTTACTTACAATACCGTTTAGAACTTTAATTAACGGCGCTGTGGATGCGTGATTAAACTAACGTGGGATCTGAAGCAAATTCTATCATAAGGCCTATGCCTTGATTTTGGAATTAAGTCCTTTATTTTTGGTTTTTATATTATTAACACTTTCAAACGACCGCTCTTATTTAAATTTATTTTACGCAATTATCACTATAGACATAGGCCCAATACATACGGTATCATAGCAAATATATTTTTTTTATATTATAATAATTGTATACGTGTTATAGTATATACTTCTTGCTCAACAAGAATATGGCTCACCTGATGAGCGGCTAAATGGCTACCGTACCTACAGTGCCGTTGTTGTAAATTCAGACAAATTAATCAGTACTTACTGCTACTTGATTGAGAGCGGCCTGTGCGTCAGTAGCACTTTATTTAGCAAGTTAGTTCTATTGCTAGGTACCACTAGCAGCTAGGGCCTTTGTCGCTGCCCCAGATAGATTTGGTACCCTAAAACCCATTACCCAAGTACTTTAGAGTCGCTCATTTTAGCTCGAAGCTCTTTAAATATGTAAGGCGTGAGGTAATTCCCTGTGTACTCGTAGTTCATTGTATCATACCATGCTCAACACGAACAACGAGTGGGGAACATCAAAGGATAAAAGGGATATCTCCATATTGCCTCATATATAAATACCTAATAAATTTTACTCGGTTTATACTTTGTACACAACTGTACTTTAAGCTTATTATTTTTTTATTGTAGGTATTAGGTTCAGACAGGAATGAGGGCGCGGAGCCCCTAGTATTTGCTGTTTTTTTTTAGATATAGAACAGTAAGCCTTTGTTCGTCGTCGTTACGCAGTCTATCTTCACGATAAATTTAATTAAGATCCGTCCAGTCGTTTAGTCGTAAAATGAACAGCCACGGCAATAAATAAACATCCAGACAGACACTGTACAACTACTTTTTTATAATATCTGTATGGATTAATTTTATCTTTTACCTATTTATATTATATACCGTTTAACTAAAGTTTGTAATCTAAACTGTGAGTCTGTCCTAGTTCGACCAGAAAAAAGATTCAAATGTATTAATTACAAATCAAAGTCTGTATTAAAAAATATATATTAATTATAAAATTGAATAGTTTCTAAATGTTAGTAATGTTTTTATTTATTCTTTTGCATACAAAATTATAGACATGGCGGCATTAATGCCTAATGGCATTCTCTACAAGTCAACCATCGCGTTGAGAGTAATAAAGCGGTCCAAATTAATAACTAACAATAAAATATAATAACAGATAAATATATATGCAAATATATAAACATATTAATATACACAAATAATATATATACATAATTAAACGAAATAAGCTCATGGATTACATACAAATTAAATATAAAATTAAACTAGGAGTATAATAAATATCATGGAATATTTAGATAGATAGTAATTTGGCTGAATTTCTCTAATATAGAGAAATATCGAAAATTATGTTCACACAAGGATCTTTTCAAAGTGAATTTCGTTTGTCGTCTACTGAGGCCAACAGGAAGTGCATTCCAAAGATTGATGGCAGTGAAGGATTCACACGAAAAATTATAACGATGAGGAGATATACAGCGGATTTTAGAAGAAGAAGTGCGAAGATTTTGAGAATGTGATGTGATCAACTTAGAAATTGAAATCTTTCTTTAATGTACAGAGGAGCTAGTGGATCGAGATGGAATAGAAAAATAACAATCTTTTCTGTTCTATAAGATCTAGAAAAATATCTAACATAAAATTTATAGTTCTGACAATAGTATCTAATTTCACAAAGGTAGAGTATAGAGATTATTGATATGTTGATTGTCCATGTCCAGGTCTTATTGTTAAAGTATATTTACTTAGAAGATATATATTTACTAAAAATTATTTAAAAGAGTTTTTCACGCCTAATTTCGTCATTCAAACTTAATCTTCTTGTGTTCTTATATACATATGATAAGTTTGAATTACGAATAAGTGGTAAAATAAGCACTTTTGAATAATCATATTGGTTTACAATATGATTATTCAAAAGTACTTATTTTAGGTTTATTTGAATAAATATTATTCCTATTTCTTACGAAACCCAACTAAATGTAATTGCAAACAACATTCAATGGATGATTGAGGACATACACTACTGTACAACAAAGAAAATCAATATATCAAACAAATTTATGTAAATCATATAATCAATGATAAGTACAGTGGAATGCAATGAAATAATACTTCGAATGACTGGTCGATCCGTTTTGTGTATGATTTGCGAGTCAATTGTACTCATTAAACATTATTTATATTACTGACTGATCAATTTCGCTAGTACTGTGCATACTTATATGTGGATTATTGTGAATAATATATTAACAATACATTTTATAATTTTATTTCAACAGATAGTATGTTAGTGGTGATTTTAGTTAGGCTTTTATATGAAGATACATAGGTATAGAGGTAGAAAAAATAAGGAAACTTACTGTAACGACTTTTGAATAGTCATATTTTTTTTATTCTACCACTATATATAAATAAACAAGTAAGTAATAGTAATAACAAGTCTAGTGTATAAATAAACTAGGAAATATGTGCAACTTCATTTGCGTGAGCGAGAGATACAGACAATTTCTCTCTCTTATATTATATATATATTTTCCTTATATTTGCAACTTTATCCATTTCACCTTTCTCGATAAATGATCTATCAAACATCATAATAATTTTCGTTAGACTATGTAGTTATTGCGATTAACGCATTCAAACCAATCTTAGTTTTATAAAAGCAGTAATATACTATAGTTACAATTATAATACCCGGAAGTATGTAATGAGGCGTCCCGGGACGCCTCGACGCCGATCCTACCCTTGGTATACTCAGTCTTGATTTGTGAAGTTTGGCCCAGACAAAATAGCTCATCCGTCCCGTTGATTGTACCTACAGTTTTTCTTAGTTGTATATATTTTGTAGTTGATATTAATTACTGAGAATGTATTCATATATTAGATGGATGTATATGAATGTCTTGTCGGCCTCGGTGATCTAGCGGTTTAGCTTTATTTCAACCCGAGATTCTGCGACACCAGAAATTCTCCGTGAGAGAATAAAGATTTGTATTCATTAGTATGATTGTATTAATCTACATGTTTTTTATTTACATTGCGTATTAATATACAAAAAATATCATGTTTATGTATTTATATTACTTGTCTAGTATACTAAGTTGGTATACCCATAAAACAAGCTCATCTTAGCTAGCGACTAGATGGGACTTTGTGAATAGTCCAAGGATTTTATATTTTTATCATTTTATTAGACTTGCAAGTTATAGAAAATAAATTACTTGTTGGTATCTTTCTTCATTTGGGATCGGTGCAGTTTTCTTTTTCTATTGATAGCTTTCGCATTAGGAATTATTTTCTTAATAATAATAATAATAATAATAATAATTTATTTATTTGCCTGCTACATGGTAATTTTGATCTTACAATATAATATAAGTACACGACATGCAGCACCCCGTAGAGGTATGCAAATATTGAAAATGATATCATAATTACAATATGTCATTAAATTTAATTAAAACATTATAATAGGTACCACAATAAAATAATAAATGTCACAGTATTCCACTAATGTCAATCAATATTATTAAAACTATAATTACATGAAGTCAGAGTTCGTATGTCAAATAATCCCTTATACTGTAGAAGTTTTTTACAATTAGCCACTCCTGTAACGTTGCCCTAAAAAGTCTTATATTACATTGTTTGATAGTATCAGGAACTTTATTATAAATTTTAATAAACATAGCAGTGCTATTATTTTGGTACAGTGATGTTCTTGGGATAATGTCTAAAACTAACCTCTCTGCATTACGAGTGTTACGTGGATATATGTCCTTGGCTTTCGTAAAAAGTTCTTGATGCCGTTTAACATGATTACAGACTTCCAATATATACATTGAAGGTACCGTTAATATGCTAAGTTTGATAAATAATGGCCTACAAGACGTGCGCGGGGTGGTGCCGCATATTGCCCTCAGACATTTTTTTGTGCAATGAAAGCTCTGTTTAAATGCCCACTGTTACCCCAGACAATGATGCTGTACCTTAAAACGGATGCTACATAAGCGTGGTAAACTGTTAGAGCGGTATTTTGATTTGTTATATTCTTTAATTTTTTCAAAACATAAACGAATTTGTTAAATTTGTTACATACTTTATCAATATGAAGTTTCCAATTAAGGTTTTTGTCTATAATTTATATTATTTATATTATTTATTAATCTATATTAAATTGTAATTATTGTTATTGCAGCAGGAACAACGCTTACGAGGATGATCCTGGTGATGACGCGCGCTCCACTCGTACACTGCCCGATAAGAAGTAAGTTTTTTTTATTTTAACAAACAATTGGAATACAGTGTCAGTCGTAAAGCTATATCGAGACAATTAACATGTAGAATATTAATGATACGTAACTTACATGAACAACTGTGGAAGCCTGAACATCAATTTCGAACTCATTATATTAATGCGATCACGTTGCAGTGCAATTTGTATATACAATATGTATGAAAGATTTAAATTTCAAAATGTTTTCAGTAATTACACTTTATTTTATTTTAATATAATATTTATGTTATATCATTCTGCAATTCACTTATTTGGGAATGTTTTCATAAATGTACCTACAATAGTACTCATGAATGCAAATGTTTATTGACTAGAACCCGCGATAGTCGGTAGTAAGGCGATGCTAAACCGTTAGACTATAAATTACGTCAAAATAAAAAATATATGATACATAGTAATCTCACAAAACTATACAAATTGGTGGTCAACCAAAGGTTTAAATTAGACTATAATTAATTTAAATTACTAGTTTGAAAAGTTTCTATATATATCAAATATTATACTTCTATTCGTATGTGTTTCATATATGGGTCTTTTTATTGATTATTTTTATAAATAAAAAAAAATTACATTCTGCACTCTTTATATAAATTATAAGTATGTGAAATTTCATAAAAAGTAATACAACATTTTAATATATAGATAAACATGTACGAAAGAATTTTTTTTATTGCTAAACTAAGTTTACATATCCTTACATATCTCATATAATAACTTTCCAGGCAAAACCACAGCGAAATTGAAAAGCGGAGACGAGACAAAATGAACACGTACATAACAGAGTTGAGTTCCATCGTTCCTATGTGTGGTGCGATGGCTCGCAAGCTGGACAAGCTGACGGTCCTCAGGATGGCTGTGAGGCATCTCCGATCGGTCCGGGGGGCACTCTCAGCCTGTCCCTTAACAGCACGGCCTAGGCCCGCGTTCCTCTCCGAGAGGGAACTGAATGCCCTCATCTTGCACCTCGCGCACGATTGCTTTCTATTAGTAGTCGGCTGCGATCGTGGAAGATTGATATATGTGTCAGCATCTGTCAGTAATATGCTGCACTATGAACAGGTCAGTAATTAATCATCATCATCATTGTTACCTTACCTTTATATAATTATTTGAGGTCGACGCAGTATGTCATCTTCCACTATGCCTATCGCCCGTGTAATCTGAACATACTCTGCTTTTATTAAATATGATTGTAAAGATGGATTGATTATGTGAAAGAAGTTTCACACAATACATCAATCTTCTCTTCGGTCGTCCTCTCACTTTCCATAATTAATACCTATTATATGTACAATAGAGTCATGAATCCTCTTCATTGACAATCTCCTTTCCCCCTTTTACAAAGAGCTATATGGGTACGAAGTGGCGGGATCAGCTAGTATTAATAATGTTATGATTAATTTCCAGTCGGAACTGCTAGGACGGAGCCTGTTTGACATCCTGCATCCGAAGGACGTGGCCAAGGTGAAGGAGCAACTGTCATCATCAGATCTTAGCCCTCGTGAGCGGCTCATCGATGCTAAAAGTTTGTTTCTTTTTGATTCAGATATTAGATATGGACACATTTACTTAGATGCTGCAAGATAATCGCATCAGCAATACTGCTATTAATTGAGGCCCGTAAGAAAAATTGAATATTGTCTACTAAACACTGCACAAACTATGTCATCCGTTCTTACATAGATATTACATTGGTATTTATCCGTTAATAAATAGCTAAACCTTTTTGCAATAATTATCATAGCAGTTATGGATAATTTATGTCACATGATTTTATATGTCGTGTAAAAGCAGCTATTACTTGTATTCGGTGTTGCAATTTCCTCACGTCCTTTTCTTACCCGCAGCGATGTTGCCCGTGAAGCCAGACGTGGTGGCAGGTGCTTCACGACTGAGCCCCGGCGCCCGGCGTTCATTCTTCTGCCGTATAAAGTGTCGCGTCCCCCCGGACACAGCTGCAACGTCCCCAGCGTCTGTTAAGGAGGAAACCGAAACGCCTAGAAAGGTCTTTTCTGTAAATATATTTCTAAATAGTATAATCCTGACTAACAATGAACATAATAATAATAATAATAATAATAATGAACTTACAACATACGTACATAGGCACGCGCGCACGCTCACAGACATGCTTACACTACACTTACTTGGTTTCGGCTCGTAAATGTAGTTTATGTCGCTAAGTATATGTATTAACCTAACTAATAATAATTGTAACCCCTGGATTGTTCACACAGTACCATCAGCCAAGCAGAACTTGAGTTATTGGTACCAGCCAACTATTAGAATATTTTATAGCGCAGGGTATCACTTCACCACTCATAGAAACACTATACATAGTGATTACCTCTATTGTTAAAAATCAATATGTATCATAAGGTCACTATCAAAATTCTATACATCTTGGTACCTTGTTACAATGACTATATATTATATATGACAAAGTCAGTCTAATATTAATTTGGCAAAGAACTACTTGCACAGATAATAGAACCAAAAATTGAATATACACATCACACACTACGTTGTTGAGATATCCAGTTTAATATTAACTCAGAAGTCGGTTTTTGAGTGACATTAGTTTATAGTTACTAATCTATGGTTACTAAATTACAATAAAATCGCGTGCGTGTACGCGTATCACATGCTGATATACTAAGATGTTGAGAAATAAACTAAAATATTAACTCTTTAAAGTTGACTTTCCAAAAAAACCTTCTTGAATGACATTAGTTCATTGTTACTATTTGGTGGTTACTGAAATGTGTGCTCAATTTTAAGGTCCGAAAGAAGAACAACGATAAGAAGTATTGTGTGGTGCAATGTACCGGATATCTCAAGTCATGGCCGCCAGCGGAAATCAATGAAGGCGGCAATGGCGTGGAGGGAGGCGAGGACGGAGATACGTGCAACTTGTCCTGCCTCGTAGCGGTAGGGCGCGCCCTACCAGACCTAGCCCCGGAGCAAGTGCCCCGAGCCCCACCGCCGCCCCACACGGCCCCACCAACCAGGCGGCTCCAGTACGTGTCCAGGCATGCCACCGACGGCAAGTTCCTGTTTGTCGATCAGAGGTACAGTACTTTTTAAGTAATTTCCCCAACTAAATATTTGTCGTAAATAATAATTTATATTGTTTGGGACAATACAAAAGGGGGTCTTGTATCAAGATAACTGATAAAAATACTTTAATTTTAATTTGATTTTAATTGAATTAATAAAAATTTAGGTTCTGTCTTAAGTGTATGTGTACATTTTTTATAAATGATACAGAGTAACATTGGCCCTGGGTTTCCTGCCTCAAGAACTGCTCGGCACCAGTCTGTACGAGTATGTCAGCGGTCCAGAACTTGGTGCTGTCGCCCGAACCCACAAGACTGCGTTGTTACAGCGTCACGCGCTCCACACGCCGCCATACTCGTTCAAGCGCAAAGATGGCACGCTGGCTAGAATACAGACACACTTAAAACCCTTCAGGTATGATTTACGCTTCTCTCTTTCAGATAATAATAAAAATAGTATACCAAAAAAATTTTACCATTAGGTATAATGTAAACGCCCTCCCTCCATTACTATAAAATAATTAAACCCTTAGGTATAATTCAAGAGCCCTAAAAAATAAACCAGCGAATGATTAATTCGCACAGCACCCTCTAGTCATAAGCAACTGATACAATTACTTAAATACATTTATAGTAAATACATACAAACACCCTGACAAACAATTATACTCATAAATGCAATATATAAATGTTAAGTTATAATTGTTAGCTTAGCATAGATATAATATTATTGATGTTGTTCGTTGTTCTATGTTGGTTGTTTTCGTGAATATAACATTTGCATTTTACGACTAATGGAACCTGAAATTGTCACCAGTAAAGCAGTATGAAACCACCAGACCACCGAGTCTATCAAGATTTAGCATAATTTTAGTCAATGTCCGAAATTGAAACAACTTGATATACAACCGAGGGGTGAGTTGAAATACAGGCTTCGTGCCTAGTTCATTTCCCAGGCTCATACAATCACAAATTGTTTATGAAAATGATTTAAGACTTGCATATGATTGTGGGTTAATAAATTCATTGTTATAATTAATGTCACAGAAACCCGTGGTCCAAGGACGTGGAATGCCTGGTGGCGAACAATACCACTCTAACAGAAACACTCGAGCCGCTGACTGAAGAAGAACCACACTCGTCCTACGACATGTTCAGACATAGTGAGTATAAGTTGTTATTTATATAACAGAACTATAAAATACAAAATTTAAATAATAAATACATTTCTGATCAGCCAGTACAATATAAAACAGTATATAAGAATAACCCAGGACAATTCACACAGAGCTATCTTGTCCTAACAGTAGACAGTTGACAGGATTTTTTTTTTAATACATGTATAATATTACTAATATTATAAACGTGAAAGTTTGTGAGTATGAATGTATAAATAGACGATCTTTATTACTCGTTAACGTAAAAACTACTGAACGGACTTTGATGACACTTCACAGTAATATAGCTTATACATCAGATAACAGCTAAGCTATAAACTTCATATGGGTAAAACCGCGGGCACGGCTAGAATATATAGAAAACTCATATCGACACAAACAATCTCATAAATACAAATGGTTGTATCGTTAGCTATATTTTGAACAATGCGAGCTATTCTCGCATTGTTCTGTTGATATCGATATTAAGGTTAGATTCCAGTGTATATCAGCAGGACTGGTGATAAGAATGGTATCCTCAGTAATAATTATGTACAGAAGATCAGGGCGATGAACTGGAGCCCATAGAGAGTGGGGTGTCAGAAACGGACATGGAAATGCAGCGACTTATCGACGCCCAGATGGATTCCCACAAGATCGGCAGCGCTATCGCCGATGAAGCCCTCAGGCGGAGCTCATCTGAGTTCTCGCCTGATCTACCTGCAGACCTGCTTCAGGATACGGTATTCAATCAACAGGTATGTCTATTAAATCAAATCAAAAATGATTTTTCATATAGGACTAAAATTACATTATGAACGTCAAGTATTTCATATTCATATTTTTCCCTAGCGTCCAATTCAGTATTGTAAATAATAATAAAAATATCTTAAGACAATTCATATAGCTCCATCCGCTCCCAACCTAAGCAGATCTTGTGTTTTGGTGATATACATAGATTTTTTATAAATATATACATTATATATATAAATATATAATTAAATTAAATATAAATATATAAATATATACAATATGCCAAAACGATTACAAACGAACCCACGACTAAGGAAAGTAAGACGGTGTGCTAAACTGCGAAGCTACCGAGGCTATCATGAAATGAATATTCTACAATATCTATATTTATCATACGAATAAATACAAATTATAGCACTATCATATTTGTATTTGAACAGTTTATGTTTGGACAGACATCACTCGTGGACAATATCTTCGACGTGGGTACCTTCAGCCAGGTTCGGAACAACGTGTCTCTCAGCTCGGCCGGTGCTGACAGTTCACCACCGCCCACCACCAGCGAATCGATGCCAACCGGTACTCCGCCCCTCGAATCACCCCCTCTACCACCGCTAGGGATCGACGGCAACGGCGAAGCAGCTATGGCGGTAATTATGAGTCTACTAGAAGCCGACGCGGGACTTGGAGGTCCCATAAACATATCAGGCCTGCCGTGGCCTCTGCCATAAACAGATAGTGTATAAGCCGGCGCCAAACATAGCTTCAAATCTAACTTTTATTTCGTATATCGTATATAGGAAAGGGTTACAGGAATTGTTTACACTGGTACCAACTGACGAATTTCATCAACACATAATCTGCCACAGATTTAAATTCAGCGCTAAACATCTGTATAAACGATGGGACACAAACGTCTGCTAATCCAGAAACTTTGCACACAGTGTGGTAATACTGTGGAATCCAAACCTATAAGATAAAAAATCAAATAAAAAAATTCTTAAAAGTCACCTTATAGCCACATCTGCAATGGTAACGTGCTCTTACGCGCATTGAGTGCGTACCAACTGTTTGCTTATTCTTTTGTTTTTCTATCATGTGTTCAAATATTTGTTAAAAGATCTTCAAATATGCATCCAAACCTTTGAAGCTGTGGCTGGTGCGGAAGTTATTTTAGTTTATTATCCAAACAGGGTCTTTCGCTGTGGATAATAAAACTAAACTCACTGGTATTTAATATTTTTCTTATTTATATAAATGACAAATAGAATTATTGAAGACGAGCAACGTCGCTGTATTTAGGTTTAAAAAAAAATAAAACAATTATTCCTTGGCTAAAAAAAGTTCTAAAAGAATGTCACAGATTGATTGCGTATTATCTGAGAATTTATTTAATTGAATTTTGAAAACATATTAGTTACTACATACATAGATACAAAGTTATCTATAAGCCATTTATTATTATATTGTTTATAATTAAACAAATGTAGTAATTTACTAGATCATAATTCTTTAGTCGTTTCATAATATTAAAGGTTGTATGGTGTCTTTGTACTACAAATTAATTATTTTTTTAATTCTGAAATTAAAATTAATTTTGAGGCCATATTTTGGTATAATTATTTTATATATACAGATATATTTGTTGGGAAGTGCAATACATATTTACAATTATTTTACAAAATTCTATCTCACTAATTATATCACTAAGTTTCTTATTTATAACAACTGAGAACTACGAACCATCTGCAACTATTAGCGTTTTGTCACTTTCTGTCATACCAAGATACTAACTAGAAAGAAAAGGATAAAACTTATACGTTTATTAGGAAGTTGATTCATTTTTACGAATTTGTCTACTAAATCAATAATTTTAGTTATTGAGATTGTTGCCATTTATTTGTATTATTGGTTTCGTGTTGTTGCATTAATTTTAGTTTAGCTATATTTTTATTATGTTCCTTAATTTTTTTTATTTACAGATATACACGTAGCTGTTATTTTTAAAATATGTTGTTTAATTATACATGTTATATTGTTTTATAATATATTTGAAAGTACAGTTTATTTAGTTAAATTAATTTGTTTTCGTTTGCGAAAAAAAAACTACTTATTAATTATTTATGTCATATATTATAAAGGTTTGGAAGGGTATGCATCTAGGTGCATAAACGATGTATATATATTTTGAATCATATATTTAACGGTTAGATTAAGTACTTACTAAATAAATGTAGGAATTTTGCGGCTTACTATTATTAGTGATATTAATAATAAAATAATACACTTCGGTTCAGGACAGGGTATGTATGTGTCATATGATTATATACGTGTATTCTATTCCTTTAAGAAGAAATTCTCAAAATTATGTTGATAACCTTATTAAAATCTGTTGAATGGTTTAGAATCTGTATACAGATAGACGTGATTTTGCTTTGATTTGATTGAGAAATAACAATGTAACATTACATACTTATTTGCCAAAAATGCCAAATGCATTATATAGTAGCTTGAAATTGACAGTGTTCTGACTATACAAGGCAAGTCGTAAGGTGGTATATGTCACGAAATTGATCTTTATTATCAAATAAGTATGGTTTAAATTTATTTATTTATTTCGTTTATTGACGAAATTGGTTCAGATTCATGAAACTGGCTGTTCTATATCTTAAAATATCATCCCGGTATATAAATTTGTGCTATGTCATATAAGTATAATTATTAATGTACACCTATATATTATGCAAAGAAGATATTATTTATTTGTCATACACAACATAACGGCAGTAAAACAATCGACTAAATATTTTACTGCCGATATGTTGTAAACAAACTTCCCCATTGGTACCTATGAGTACCTCGTAATGTACACATACATACCTGTGTGTATTACAATTCAATTCAATTGAATATTAATCTGCATGATACTTTAATAAACATTATTTAAATACGCACTCTATTTATAGATGTTAGCAATTAATAAACATTAATAATGTAGTTGTGACGTGCTTACAGCACTTTCCTTGATGTTCAAATATACGAGTATAATCTCAAATCTAATCCGAATTATATTATGTTACAGAAGCCCGCTGGCTCTTATTAAGATGTACATATATTCTAAATTAATTATAACGTTATTATTTTTTGATATTATTTACTAAAATGTGTTAATGATTTTTATAAGAATTTATTTTACATTATGTACCTTATTTATGTGCAATGTTTATATCTCACATTTAAGATTTGCTCTTTTAAGAGAGGTGTCGTCGTAGAAAATTTATAATATTTAATTTTTACTAAGAGATAATATTAATATTAACAGAAATCACTTGATTGAGACTGTTGTGGCTTTGCACGGTAAGTTCCAGTTCGTGTGGTGATACCGGGCAGTGAAATTACAGGGTATGAAGTTAAGATCCTTGCCAAAGTGAAGAGGAAACGCTACTGCACATCCTATGTGGTTGTAGCTCACTCATGCATAAACGAAAGTTTACAGTTTCTTTTCTGAGGAGATAAATACCATTGCTCGTAAGAATCCTATCCTCAATTCTTGTCCCTGACGGGTCTAGGTAGCGAACATTGAAAAGGGAGAGCACAATAGATCTATATAGGTGGCAGTGCTACAGGTCCATGCACTTGACAATAGCCCAAAGAACCTTAGTCCTCTGGAATGGTATAAACATGACAATGAACGTTAAAGGTTTAATGTGTGCGATGGTAATGACTACCCGTTAGATGGAACACCCTATTTTCTATAATTACGTAAAATTAAAAAAAAATATAGGATCTTACTATTATTAAAAGTGGTAAGTACCCGTGATTTTCTAAATTTAAAAACGTATATTAAAATGTTATATTATTATTATCTCTACATAACGAATTCTAAATTAGCTTCACTTAAATAGTCTTATGTCTAGCTGAAAATAGATATAATAATAACTATTTTCAATTAAGTTTTATTAAGGCTGGGGAGAAATTTCACGCGTTTCTTGAGACTAAATTGGCAGTCTGATTACATATAATTTAGTATAATATAAATATAATTAAATAAAATTAATATATAGTAATATAACTAAATAAGTAAGTAGCCATCTATAAATTGCGTCACGCGTACGTTTTTCATGAATTTTGACCTCTTCACCCATCCTTGTCACAGCTAGTCTTATTTGTGGGACTCTCGCCTCACTAGTACTATCGTCATATTTGTTTAAATTATTGGAAATATTTTATAAAACTTTTCGTTAATTCAAATGTCGTGTTTTAGTATTTTATTATATAATAATATTATGAAATTTAGGTCACGAATTTAGAACCTCTTGTCACACTTTGGCGTTAAACGTGTAACTTAATTTGTGGATGGCATCTATCAGTGTATATAAAGGTATACACTCCCTTCAAATGTGTGTCACTGAATGAGTGTTTTATTGCTGTAATTGTATACCATTAATTTGTTTCTGTGCTTAACGACTTAAGAGGAACATTAAATCTAGAGATGTGTAAAATCTAAATCTAGATATACAAAGTGCAGTCCAATAATTTATAATGATAATTTAGTCTGGTCAAACGTTGGCCATATTATTTATATTTTACTATTATTTGCGCCATGTTTGAAACCTGAGATAAATGTTGTAAGCCAAAAGATCTTTGTTAAATATGTTTTATGTCCGAAGGGCCTTAATGTTTTCTTAATTATTTTAATGACATATATAATAGGTATGTATCGTGTTTTGAAGTTAGTCAGACGATCGGAAGAGTCTGACATAGTAATTAAAAATGTTCTATTTCATTTATAGTATATGTATATGAATAAATTGGTATTTTTTTGTTGTGTTTGTATTGGAACATGCTTTTTTAAAACGTGCAATATCAATAATTTTATTTGCCACTCATTGATTTTGATATCAATAGAAAGTTACAAAGAATTGACTATTTTAGGCCCAATAAACAAGCATGCTTAAAATTAAAAAAAACGTTTTACATACGTTATCTACCTTTTTTTTTCAAAATAATATTAAGTATACTACTTATATGAATGTTAATTGTGCGTAATTGATGTAATTTTAGATAATCACTTCGAATTGCTTGTACTGTCACATTGTAATGTAAAATATCACTCCGATGCCATTTTAAATGACTCTTTTAAAATTTAATACACCATAGATTTTAGTTATATTCCTATACAATTATATAATTTATGGGCAACATTGCAATATTGTAGTCAGTATCACTGTATTTGTTATATTATTTTTATCTGAAAGATTGAATTTTATTCAAAACTATTTTCACCCACTTCAAAAAACGGTAGGTTCTAAATTCACATGTATTTTATTTACTTGTTTTGCCTTAAAACTGGAGCTATTCTATGGTGGAGCTATACTATAAAAATCAAGATTCGACCAATAGTTAATTTTCGATATTAGTCATTCCGTGACCTGTACAACTTGTTAATTTACAAAATTAAAAAAGTTACTATAATAATTTTTATCAAAAAATAACAATCCCAATATTTAATCAATACTTTTTCTTACAATAATTAATAATAAATAAGTGTCTAAGTGTCTACTATACATGAATGTCGTATACGAGATCTTATTTCACATACGGATTTATTAATTTCTTACTATTATTTATTCATTTTAATTATTTATTGTTTTACATAATGACGTAACTAAATTTATTTTTACGAAAGTCGTGGATTAGTGGTTCATTATACCCACTATCGATATATATTATATATCTATAGGTACGTGATTTCAAATCTGGCTGATACCAAAAAGATAAACTTATAGATTCATATTTTTTACTGACTCTCCGATTCTAAAAAGACAAAAATAGTTTCTCCCCGTCACTTTGGATTTAAATACATATAAAGAGCGAAATGTGGGCATGTAAAGTGTTGGGATCAGCACGATATCAATAGACATTGCTTCCAACTTCCCCATCAAGGTCATGTAGATATATCCAACAGTCGGGCAGGCATATATTTCATTTATTTTAGAATACAAACTGTTTTACAATAGTCTACCTATCATCAAAATTAAAGTACGTCATTGTCAAATTTCAAATATATATATATGTTCGATAATTATCTTGTGTTCGATATTTTATGTCCTATTAGTGATGTGCCAGATAGTTGAAAAGATACATTTATCAGTGGATATATATACTTTAGCATTTTACTAAGCTTAGTACGAAATGTTTCAAACATATCGTATTGTTGTAATCATTCAACTAGTGTTTTAATAACCATGCGTGCAATATAAATGTGCTGTGGTCTTAAGTAATATTGATATATTACTTAAGGGTGATCCCTTATTACTTATTATATATACTTATATTACTTAACTCCCTGCTTTTTGGAAATTCGTCCATGCAAGACTGTATACCCTATGGAGAATCTATTTAATGATGAGAATGTTTTATAATAAAATCTATAAAAAGCCCACACATGTATATTTAAATTTAATGTAAAAGATCTGTTCAAAATCCGGTAAAAAGATATTTTATATCCGTCAGATATCCACAGATATAATTATCTGGGCACATCAGTTTTAATTGCCCGTGTTTGTCATAGTACGCGAGCCGACTGCACCAAGCATTCGCATAAACATTACGAATTAATTATAGTAACGAAGTTACGCCTTATGACAATGTCATACGAAAATGTGATTGTTAGGATAGTGTGATTTGTGATGTGATTGTAACGGAAAGATAGATCAATGCGGCACACATATAATGTATGTAGCTAAAATGCAGGTAATAAAAACAATTGTAAATTGATATTTAAAAAAGTAAACTAACATCTTTTGGTGTTTGTTTTTAAAGAAGTAATATTCATATTACTTTTAAAACTGAGTTATTAATTTTATATGTGTGCGGGAATTTTGCATACACATATTAAGTGTTCTATATGCTTTCATGTTGCATTCAGAATTGTCGCGTCACACGAAATAAGTCCACTTAATTCCTGCACATGTTATAAAAATATTACTTTATTTATTTGACATAGATAAAATTAAAATGGATTTGTGTTAGTTGTATGACTCAGTTGTTAAAAGCAAAGATTTTTCTCTTAAAACGCGTAGTGTTTGGGGCGTTTAGCCGTGGTACTAATATTAAAATATTAAGTCATGTTGTTAATTTCGATTTTGTTTCGATTTTCGTTTTGGTTTTTATAAATTTATGGTTATTTATATATATATGAAATAAAGATAACGTTTCAATTCGCTTTTTATTTCTCTAATCCCTATATACACTTCCAAGTTCATTGTTCTGAATGTCATCATATTATAGTTAAATTGTATATTAAGTATAAGTAAAAATGAGAGACTTATTCGCCAACAAACTGCCAAACAGTTTGCCGATATTTGTGAAAATGAATAGTATATATACAAATCTTATAAATAAATAAAAAAAGCGGATGCAGTAGAAAATCATTAGGGTTAATTCGCAGTTTATGGTATTAATAGAATAAAATATCAGTTGTCGAAACTGCCGCAAGAATATTGGGGGCGCTATTGAGAATCAACAGCCATCTTTCCCACACTACCTTTATTTAAACGGCTCTAAAATAGACCCTAACTTTGTCTAAATGGAAAATAAAATTATCCAGTATATTTATATACTGTTAATAGGATTATGGTGATATGGTTGGGAATAATTACAAATGAATACGCTTTCAAACTCTTAACTACTTTATTAACATGATTGTATAACACGAAGTAATATCAACAAATCTACTACTATCTATTCCATAGACAGCCAATTCATATTACTCAAATTAGACCTTGAGACTGCTAACTAATGAAGTTAATTTATCAATTTACAATAATTACGAATGATTATTTAAAACATTCCAGATTAAATTGAAAAATAAATATTAATTAAGCATACGAGTTATTTTTTGGCGCACCATCTAAAAGTTCTACATATTTTCGATCCAATAATTGTCTAAACACATAACTAGGATACTATTTATGTGTGTAATGCCAAGACTATTTGGAAACTTCAATAGCAAATCATTACATAGATAAATATGCATTATTCTAAATTTTTAAATTATTTTTAGTAACAGACACTGCGATTCTTAATTCTGAACGTTCTTTATAAGATAGATAAGTCCAAATTTGAATAAACTAATTTTTATGACGTTATACTATACGAGGTGCCGTATTAGTTGTGTGCTATTTGGGCCACTGAGACCTCGTTCAGTTCTATGACCCGATTCTGGTAATCGATGGCTACTCCATGACATCACCATATTTGTTGGTGGCCGGAGGCGGTGACTGTGGCGCTGACGGCGGCGGAGGCCGAGGACGGTGGGCCGCCGGCGATACATTTGGATCGACCCTTAATAGAAAAAAATCTTTATTAGAATAGAATACTAATTATTGACTCGTACACAACAATAATGACATAATAAAACAAAAAATTACACATTACAAAACAGCATAATGTACCACAACTCAGCATAATGTTGGAAACGTAGTCCAGAGCTGATTTTCAGTTGGCCCTACAGTAGGGATGCACACAAATTACAATTTAAAATATAATAAAATTATAAATATCATCATCTGCTTCTTCCTCATTCCATTTAATTGGGTTCAGCATAATATGTTTTTCTCTTCCATTCATGTCTCATGTATGTCCACCACTCCACATTTCTGGTGAAGTATTTAGTGTTTTAATATTGTTGGCCATTAGACTTTCTCCGGATGGAAAATCGGGCCAAATGCAGAAGGAACTCTAAGTGAGAGATTTTCACCTGTAAGGATCTTGTCTGGTCTCCGAGTAGTCAGTACGGTTCTTGCGTCGTAAGTCTTCGTACGAGAGGTTGGGGCGCGCCGGTGCCGACTCTTGAGGAGGCAGACTGGATCCTGTGTTACATTAAATGGAATAGCAAACAGTCTGTCATCCCACCTGAAGTTGAAGGGGAAGTGGTACATATATGTTCTTTCACACTCGTATAGGGATACATGCAGGAAATAATTAGTATGTAAATGAAACAAACAAACTAGAAAAACCGCGCACGACGCCTGCTCTATTATACCTGTGATTTTTTTACATAATTATCATTACTAAATGGCGGACGTCATTATAGAGTTATTAATATTTAGAAATCATAAACGTAAAATAAATTCTGTATTTAAAAAATAAAATTATATGACTCTTGTGACTGCTCCAAACCCTTGTCATATAATGATACTATTTGTTGCGTTTCTTCTTGTTATATCCAAGTTAATTTACGGATGCTATGAAAAGAAAAGATAGGGTTAAAAGTGTTATATTCACCGTCAGTATCGGGCCGGTAGGTGTCGTCATTGAACAGTGGACGGTCGGTGTCCAAGTTCAGCGAGCTGCCCGGTCCAGCATCTGAGTAGATGTCACCAGGGCTTGCACCGAACATTGAAGGTGTTTGACTTGGCAAAAATGTCCTGAAATACGTCACACCGAACATTTTTTAAACAAATGATAATAGTATGGTACACCCGAATGATATAATAGAATGATACACCCGTCTGAACTAATGAATTACGCTGACAGCGCACCAGTGGAGCATGATAAATGAGGTCATGTCAGTTAGCCCATCAAGACTAATTAACCAGGAATCTATCATGATGTTTTCTAGGGCAAACCGCATGAAGGTAAACTTGACTCCATTGCTAGCAATGTACTACACATTGCTAGCAATGGAGTCAACAGTTCCCATTACTAAGAATCTCCTTCTGCCACTACCCTACACACTGAATAAATACGTACAAGAAGAAGACTGTATAAAGTCGACTGCAAGGATACCTCAGTCTCACCTTAGGACGGCCTCAGTGGTCTAACAGTTTATGCTCAACAGCAGACCGCTATAGTTATCAGTACTACAGCGGTCGCGGGTTTGATTGCACGCACACTGCAAACATTTGTATTTATGAATATGATTGTTTGTATGTGTTTAGGTGTTTTGTCCGTATTTGAAAAAGATATGGATTATAAGTATTTATATTCCATAACGCAAACTAGACCACAAATGCTGTCCGAATTTCATTCAACTTACACTAAGAAGAAATTTAAGGATTGTTAGCCGCAAGTAGTTGTAGTAATACTGAATAGAATAACCTTACCCTCCAATCTTTCCTTCCCGCCTGTCTCGGAGGAGTTGTCCAATGTAGCTGCCAGGCAGGGCCATCAGCTTCTCAGCGCATGCCTGCTGATACGACAGTTTGCCAATAAAATAACCTACCACCACTGCCAGGGATATCTTGGGGAAGGCACCAAACCTCGCATTTGGCTTTAAGCGACCTGCAAATAATATACATCTTATGTATTGCACTTGTAACATTCATACAGTTAATATAAATAACACTTGACGGGTTCAGTGATGTAGTGGTTTACCACACCTCCTTACTTCCAATGGCACGGGTTCATTTCCTAGCATGGTGCAAGCATTTCGAATTTATGAGTATGATTGTTTATATTGGTCTGGATGTTTGCTATGTATATAGAATAGAATAATATTATTATTATCACATCACACAGACAACACAACACAACAATAATAATGCTCAAAGCAGTAGCATAGAAATTATTTTATCATATAAATAGAAATAACGAAATAATGAATTGTTCATTCAAATTATTAGGTACATAAAAAAACAAGATATACAAAAAAAAATACATGTTCCAAAATAATCATAACAAAGCAAAATGCAAAGCAAAGGAAATTTATTTATAATTAAACCAGGTCAGTTAGACCTGGTTTTATCATCTCATCTTACCCATTGTGACAAATTCACTAGGAATTTGTCATGATGGTTCCCAGGGGATTTCCATGAAGGTCAACCTAACATGGTACATTGCTAGCAATGTGGGTTAAAGTCCACATAACTAACAATCCCTTCTCCTCTCAAATGTAGCTATTAAAGTTTTGCAAATAAAATTAGTGGACAATATATAGCAGCAATAAAAAATTCAACACAGTGAACTTCATTACTGATAGAATAGAACAAATCTTTATTCAAATAAACAAAATACAATTCCTTAATAGTTTATTTTTATGCTAACACTAAATCAGTACACATATAAAGCACAGCAAATTAAATAAGAAACTTGACCTTTGTACTTTCAAATAAAACTATAAAAAATTCTAAAAAAATTGTTGGTGTTTGTTTTTGGTAAGTGTTAATTTAAACTACCAAGTAGCATTAATTCACATTCAGGTTATGGTATTCATATTACAAAATATACTATCTGGGTAGGGAGAGAAACACGAGCGGCAAAAGTGTTGGTATACTATCCAAAGGACATAGAAATACTAATTATTATACAATAGATAAAGGGGTCCCTTAAACTTACAGTCAGGTCACAAGTCTGCGGACCTGCTCAGTTTGCCTCCTTACCACACAATGGACCTGGCATCCATATAGTAACTCTATAGAATGCTAAAAGATTATCTCAACCTGAATGTGAATTAGTAAACTCAAACAGAGTAAATCAGTTAATCAGAGCAGACCAGTCGCTGACCAGACAAGCAGCACTTTACGATATTGGATGAGTGTGGATTGATGAAGTATTTAATACCAAACAATAGCCTATGCAGAGTCATTATTCAGTATACCTATTTCATAATGTTATAAAAGTTAATATAATATATTCATACACTTGTTGTAATAGAGTTTCATACTTACCTCTGTATCTAGCCACCCATTGCCAGAGTATGGCATGATATAGAAATATTTGTTTATTTATTTATTTATATTTGCACATGCGTATACATAAATTTACATTAAATTTACATAAATTAACAATACACATGGACTCTATTTAAAGAGTATGGCAATTTCGTAGATGACTCATTCCAATAATAAAATTTAAAATTTAGATCTGTTGTAGTGTCCAGTTAGCTCCTATAGTACGTCTGTTAAAAATTCTTTTACTGTATAGTAAGCTTTGTCGGTCAGTAGTTGTTTAAGCCTTTTTTTAAATAAATTAATTTTATCTTCTTGTTTTATGGTTTCCGGGATTTTATTATATATTACAATGGATCGGTAATACGGACTCGCATCTATTATTACATTTAAAATTAAAATATGATAATGATTGATATGATTTATGAGTGTAGGAGTGTAGATCCTTACCTACATATAGACTTATTGTTTGTCAGTCAGTAGTGTTAACAGCACTGCGTTTTAACAATAATATTCTACACAAATATTACTAGAATATTGGTCAAGAGTATAAAAAAGAAATAACAAACCTGACTGCACTGCGGCGTAAGTGCCCAATCCAAGCGCTGCCCCAATTGGAAGCGATCTTTTCACAAAACTCTCCCGGTTACATTCAGTCAACACACGAAGCTCGTCTTGAGAGAATTTGTACTGCGCCTACATAACCCACATTAATAAACAATGCAACAGAAAATAATACTTTCATTCATGAAAAAGGAGGTTAGCTTACCGGATTATTTCCAAAAGGCGGCTGAGGTGGACTGATCGGTCCCCCATCCTGGTATCCATATGTTCTAGAATCGTCCATCATACAATCGTTACATATATGATATAAAAATGGACAAGCGGGATAAGATACTCATAAATTAAATATTAAGATAATAAAAAAATCACTAATAGCACAGAAACGACTTAACTCTACGAGCATTAACATATGACAATTGACAATTTTGACATTACAATGACATATATGTCACTTCAGATACCACAGATGGTATTTCATAATATCATAATTGTTTATTACATTATCAAATATGAATTATTTCTGCAACATATACCTATAATAATGTTAAAAAGTTAATTAGACAGAATAATTTTAAAGCAGAAAAAGTTCCTTCTGCTTCCAAGGGGTCCAAAAATCCAAAACCAGTCGTGGTCATAGTATACAGTGTGCTGTATAGTAGATCTCATAAAAACAACAGTCTATGCAGAAAAGGGAGTCCTTTTTACAATTACCTTAGTATATCATGCGATAATCAGAGGTTTCGGTGATCTAGAGGTTTAGCACAGCGCTTATGATCAGGTGTTCGGTTCCTGGCGTCAGCACCGAATAAATAGAATACCAATAGGTATTTGGTGCATTAATTTACAAAAATATATATTTAAGTATTTATATTAGTTCTCTATTACTCATAAAACAAGATCTGCTAGGTTGAAACTAGATGGCGCTGTGTGGGTTTTCAAGGGTTATTAATACTTATTTTATATCGAAATAAAAACTAAATATTTGTGTACAAACTTGCGCTGATAACTCTGACAACTGAATATTAGGTATACTTTTTAAACATATGAAAGGTGAATTATTATTTTTTCGATCCCGGCTGAGGAGCGGTGTCCGCGTGGTATTTCCTCATCAGGTTTCCAAGTTGGCTGGAAGCTGGCAACTGACGCAGCTTTGCATCACACTCAGTTGAGTACGAGATCCGTCCGTATACGTAACCCATCAAAGTAGCCATCAGCATTTTCGGGAATACGCCAAAGTGTGGGTTTCGTTTCAGGAATCCTAAAAAGAAAACATTCATAGAAGCAAGCAATCGAGTAGGAACGTCACTGTAACACCGCGGGGCACCGTAAGCGCTTACTTCTATGAAAGTTTTCGTGGCGTCCCTACTGCGATTTGCGTGTTAAATTGCAAATTATTTTTATGTAATTGGAATGGTCAAACGAGCTGACGGACCACCTGATGGTAAGTGCTAACTGTCACTTAGAAACATGTACAGCCCCATGGACAAGTGACACACAGATGGTAACACTCATGCCTTTGGAATTTAACCGCCTAATCACCCTACAACCAAAATGCAGCTTACAAAGCAGGATGCTTTGCGGCTGAAACATTTATATCCATACACGTTATTGTTTTTATAAATGCCAGTGTTTGTCTGACTTTCTGTTTATTGGTTACTTTTCATGGGTTATCGGATCTTAAAGAATATTGGCGGGAATATAAACCTGCGTCACGAGAAGGACTGGGCTATTTTTTATAAAAAAACTTATCTGAATAATTAGTTCCGGGGAACAACAAGTACATCAATACATAATTTTGATGTGTCACATAGCGCTATCAACATAAAACCAAAGTAATACTTAAAAAAATATTTATAACTGTAGAGGAACATAGTTTTATTAAAATACGTATTGCTTAGTATATTTAAAAACCACCCTACCATTACAAACAAATGTATACATTGCGTCGGAATCGAAACTGCGACCATGGTGCGTAAAGCAGCATGTTAGAAAACTGTACCACTTGTGACTGGCATGTTAATTTATAATAATAATAATAACTAATTGTACTAATGTGGTAGTGACCATCCTGAGATTCAGAGTAATTATGCTAAAACGCTAGCCCGAGTACACTAGCAGTACCTATATTTGTTGATGGTACAATGTGCTAGACAATCATGTTATTAAAGTAATTATGAGTTTGCAAGTGTAATTATTTGTACTGTTCTATTCTGCAATTAATTATAACAATGATTTAATCATTTCTGCAATATCTCTATGCTAATAAATAGGATTTGTTTGTCTATCTTGAAAACTAGTCAAAAATAAAAAGAAACAAGATGTGTTCAATAAGAAATTCAATTTTAAAAGTATGAGAAATTACTTAAAGTATACATGCAATCACTTGAGAAAGAGTGAATTGGAATTATACCTACTTATGATTGCGCAGCATTTGCTTTTCTGCGCTAAAACGCGCGCGCATCTGATCGTGTAAAAGAAAGATATAGGCAGCGTTATTTAAAAGGGCGAATGAAAGTGTGGGGCATAGAACTTAAGAACGTAATTATCCAACTTTGTTATGACCTATCGATAAATATAAACTATCGGGGTAGGTATTAGAGAAGGGCATCAATAAAATTGTGAATTTACTAGCAACCACAAAGGTTTTCAGAGCAACTGCATGGAGGCGGTGTCGTGGCTTACACCACAAAGGTAAGCAAGCAAAATACTATAGCCCGAACTGAGAAATATGAAGGGGTCCAAGGGGGCTTTTATATTCGAAAGACTACAAACACCGGAAGAATCTAAATATATTATTAAAAAATATATATATTTTTTTAATAAATTTAGAAAAGAAATCTCATAATTTGCTATAAGACAATATGGGATTATAACAATTGTGTCACGTTTTCATTACTATCAATCCTATTCCCATATAATAAAATCCAATTGATACTTAAGTAAACTCCTTACTTGAGAGGGACTCGACTGATTAAGTCAAAATCCATTTAAAAATAAGAAATTTCAATATTTAAAAATGGCGTACGGTTAGATAATTTGGCTGTAACATATTATTTGTGTTAATTTCTCTCATCACTACGTAGCTGAAGCGGTTCTCTATTATGAATTTTAAATATGTTCGTTATAGATATACAATATATTTTGAAATATATAATCAGATTAAAAAATAAAAATTACAAATTTGGCTTTTACTTATATCTTAAAATGTACCAGAAGTTGACTGTAAATAGTGGTCAGCATATCTACCTTAGTCTCACCTACATATGTATACCAGCTGCCAAACACTTTGCTTTGTTAAATGTTTCGGTTGTAGGATTGACGTAGCGTCAACATGTTTGTCAATCTAATTTCATAGATTACAATTATTTTTATATTATAATCTCTGCATGCTTACCACTTTTAATGGCCGCGTAAGTGATGGTGGCGAAGAGTGTACTAAATGGTAAGCAACGCTGGTAGAAACTCTCTTTGTCACATTCTTCAAGCGCCTTAATTTCATCCGGAGTAAACTCGTAGTAGCGCTGTTGACAAAATATATTTTGTTCAAGATGGCATGTAGGAAGTGAATTTTTTAAAATATATTGAAGGCCCAGCTGACTGTAAGTGGTAATCTTCACATATATATATATATGAAAAGTACCATGGACATCACATTATTATGTGATGTGATGATGATGATGATAGTTTCATTCGTTCGTTGCCATTCTCTTCCACTGAAGCAAATCTTAATAATTGCTTATTAAGGTACGAGGGCGGTTTGTAAGAATCTTTTGCACTTGGTTACCTATTACAAAAGAGACGTGACATAAAAATAGATCAATCTATCTGCTCACCAGAGGATGCGTGACATTACGTATAGGAGGGCATACTTTTGTAGTGTGTGACTCCGCAAAACATCCACAGTCCACCTCCGCTGATTTTTCAATTTTTTTGTCTTTTCCACTCATGATGTCGTATTCTATTAACCAATCATTATGTAAAGAATATATGGTGTTGCATATTTACTTGTTTAATAATCTAAATCTCACTTAGAATTTATCATTATTTTATAAAATTGGATTATTTTACAATCTGAGAACTGTCAATAATGTACTTATAAAAATGTACTACGTAGTCTATATGACTGTATTACGCCCACAGTACTGGCCAGTTGAATCGCTTATTATTTTTTTTATTATGTCATAGTGCAATGTTATATCTATAGCCATCACTGTCAAATTCGTAGTCACAATTGCAGAATTATGCATCAAATTTGGACGGTGCCTCTGAGTAGGCACTGCAGTATAATACAGAGTTGTTAATGGGTTTAAAAGCTGGTATCGAAAGGCTAAAAAGGTCAATGTGGCTTAGCGTTATCGTAGTGCTGGTCTCCGCGGCTGGTGGTGGAGCTGGTGCTCGTTACAGCGAGTATTCAGGTGTGAAGATGCCGCAGTACGAAGGGGGAGACTATGACGCATCAAGAGATGCTGCAGCCTTATTTATTCCTGAGTCGGAAGACTATAACGGCCACTCCCCAGATGCACCAGCGCCATTTGATTACAAATATGAGGAGCCCAAAGGTAGATTACATTGTATAATATTACTATTGCGGTTTAGATACTTCATTCCTTTCCATAATTTCCATCGATTTTATATGTACGTTGTCTTGTACATTTGATTACAAATAGCTTTTATTTATATACGCAGTACGTATATGTATAATTTAAAAATCCTAAGTTATAACAATACTTTTCTTTTTAGAAAATTCAATGAAATCATCATCAAAAGAAGAGGAAATTGAGGATCCGTGGCAGAAACCTATTAGAAAATATAAAAGTCGTAATAATGACTACTATGAAACAGATAAGCATAGTCCAGAAGATATAGCAACTAGATATAAAAGTAGCCATCGATTCGAAAAGCATAGGCCTCGCCATAAAAGTTGGATATCTGATAGAAACGTACGCTTAAATAATTATAATAGAGATGGAAATAACGAAATTAGAGATACGGAAAGGGACGAGATTATTAGTGATAACGTAGATTATCGAAAGAATAAGAATAAAAACTTGCAGGATAATTATAAATACGATCTTGAAATTACAACGAATAGAATAATACGAAGAAAACCTAGACGTTTAGCTGGGGAACAAAAGCCAAGTAGATCGGTCCTTGACATACATGATAATATTGAAGATATATTACCAGATTCACGACTAAGAGAGGACGAGGATGCTGACGAAGAATCTAGGTCAGATATACCGTTACGACAGCGAAAGGGCGATAGTCCTTTTCGTCAGTCTGATGATGACGACGTTATCGTTAAACTACACAAGAAAAAAACTAAACCAGGAGCGTATCCTGAATATAACGACTACTATGATATGAAAAGAGTACATAATATTAAAAATAAGTTACCTACTTTACTTCGTCGGACAAAAGGTAAATAATAGACATTTTAATTACAGTAGTTAATAATAATTATGGACCCTGGACAATTCACACAATGCCATCTAGTCCCCAGCTCGGCAGAGTTTATGTTATAGGTACTAGACAGCAGATATATACATACATAGATACATATTTTTATAAATACATACATAATATACGTATAAAACACTTTTTAATCTTATATATAAAATTCTCGTGTCACAGTTTTCGTTCCCACACTCCTCCGAAACGGCTTGACCGATTCTCATGAAATTTTGTGAGCGTATTGAGTATCTATTTTTCATCCCCCTAAATGTTAGGGGTGGTCCACCCCTAAATTTTTTTTTCATTTTAAGGCAAAACAACGTTTGCCGAAACAGCTAGTAATGTAGAAAAATCTTCATAAGGTCGACCATAAAAACACATAGATATACATACCGTGAGAGGTTTCAAACTCGCGACGAAAAGCCGTGTGCTAAACCGCTAGGTCACTGAGGCTATATATTACTACTACTACTACTAATAGTCGAAATATTAGTAGTAGTAGTAGTAATATATAGCGAACCTACAGAAAGTTGTCTATCAATTACAATTTTACAATCTTATGGAAATATAGCTTGAAAGTAACGTAACCTATAACCTTGTAAATTATTTAAGACGACCTATAAAAATTATCACTCAAAACTAATTTAAATTTCGTTTTTTTATTATACATACTACGATGGTGGCAATAAAGCATACGGCTCATCTGATGGTAAATGGTTACCGTAGTCTATGAACGCCTGAAACACCAAATGTATCACGTGCGCGTTGCCGACCCTTAAGATATTTTAATATACCCACCCTTCTTGAAAAACTAGATACTAATTGAGTTTTTGCGCGATAGTGTCGGAATTAGGCATATAAGTATTGCTTTCCAGCTTCAATGGTAATGGTCATCACTGTGTGTCACAAATGTATCCATATAAAATACGTTACAACTTAAACTTCTGCAAATACAATATATCCAGACAAGATATATTCTGTATCCTAAGAGATCTCTCTCGACAACTTCCGTTCAAACTTTCAAACCAATATAACCACTTTAAAGAATTATTTTCAAAAGCATTTCCTGGTAATGCTTATTTAATTTATAGGAACTCAGTTTAGAATTTTTGTTTCTGAACACTCCATTGGAGAATATTATTTGGCTCTAATTAAATAAAGTATAAATTAATGGTGACTGGTTATTTTGCTACCAAATAAAGTTGTTTAAAAAATACTACAAAATTAACGCACATAGATTTAAAATGGTACTCCTTTGTAAATCTCTTTATAAATTTACAGAACGGCAAAGTCTAGTCTAGTCTAGATACAGAAGTATCTGTAAAACATCCCATGTTACTATAACAATGTAACTTTCTATAGGTGAAACAGTTTTTTAAATAATTAATGTATTTTTTGTGTTCATTACGTTATACGTCCATATATCATTTAGATACAATATTAGTTTAGTAAGCATTAGTGAGGTGGTTATGCTAAAACTAAATAAACATCGATGGATTACAAAGGTTAAAAAATATTTGGTTTGTGTATGTGCTCAGTGAGGGCGGATACACCGACACCAACACTGCTGTTCGAAGACTTTCGTCGGATAAATGAGGAGGACTTCATCAGAACTGCAGTGGTCACGGAAGAATCTAAGACTACTTATTGCACTACAGAAAGTGCAACTACAACGACGATATCCATTACCACAACAACAGCGGCACTAAGTGTATCCACAAATAGTTCAAAAGAATTATCATTAGCTGAGAAATCTAGGTTGTCGATACTTAAGAAAGCTCAGAGAAAGGAGAGCTTCAAAAGCATGACAACGACGAAGCCGCCAGTTCTGTTGCAGGTAACGAAGAAGTTACCAACGGTAGTAATGGTGGAACCTGCCGGCACTGACGTACCTTCGTTGCGTGCAAGGGAGGTCATGAATGACTCTCCGGAGCATCTCGATAAAGTAAAACGACTGATGAGGAATAAGCTGATCGCCAGTGCCAAAAATATTCAAGATTTAACAGACAATTGGGACGATTTGGTTTGCGACTATATCGATACCTCCCTACTGGAGAACGAGGCGTCACTGCTATTTACAAATTTAGATGTACTCGTATTAATTCCATTAGTCGGAGTTATTTTCTGGTTCGTGTAGTGATGTTTAATTTAGTATCGAATTCATATTAGCTTTGTGCTTTTGTAATACGATAAGTGTTGTTTATATTACAATGAATTTCAACTGCAACGTGATGTTTTCATTGTTCGACGAAAATAGTGTCGATAGGGATAAAGTATCCGATACAATGTGATACTGTTGTGCATTTGAGGAATTTAAACGTTATGATTTCTCATTAGTTTGATTTGTATTATGGAAATGTAGAATGTAAATCAATATTTTTAAAACACTTTGAACTCCTATTTATTGAATTAAAAGGAATATTCGCTATCAATTATATTTGCTGTTATTATTATGAAAGGTTTTTCAATTCAACGATACACTATTACCTGAATATATTTTGTAATTGAAGCCATTCTTATAAATAATCTTTTATAAGCGCAACTTTTCCAATATATAGTACGGTTATTATAACGATAATATTAATAATATCTCAGGACAACACACTTAACGCCATCTAGTCCCAAGTTAAGCAGAGTTTGTGTTATCAGTACAAGACAACTGATAAAAATACACGGAGACATTTTTTTAAATACATACTTTGAGACATAGAAACAACAAAACATACATAGAAAGCACCCAGACCAATACAAACAATCACATGAATATAAATGTTTGTACTGCCTGAGGAATCGAACCCACGACCATCGGAAGTAAGGCTGTGTGCTAAACCTTTAGACCACAGAGGCCGTAAATACTCTTCTTCATTTATCTTAATAAAGTGAGATAAGTGAAGAAAAGTGTTCAGTTATACGCTTTAATAATAAAACTATTAACGACGCCGGAAGCGGTAGGTAGCGTAGGTCTTAACGTGAAGTATCTGCCAATTAGAGAGCTCAAGTTGTTAAGAACATTTTCACTTTAACCTAACATTTTATATTACTATGAACATACTCAACAAGTACGTAGTTACATGACATATTTAAGTTTGCCAACTATCAATACAAAGTAAGGGTAGGAATTGTTAGTAATGGGGAATAGTAATCCAATTACTAACAATTTACCAAATTTTGTGATGAGTCTGTGTTCGGAATGAGGGTAGATTTATCAAAATATATGTATTTTATTGTTTTTCTCATGAGTGCTTGTATTAAGCTTATTTGAATTAACGTTACCATCTGCTTGTCTAAAATAGGACCGACGTAAGCGACAGCGTAAATTTTCTTTTAATATATTAGGACATGTGAATTGCCCTAGCCCCATCTAGTCCCACACTATGAACGTAATGTATGTATGTTATGAACATAATTAATGTATTTAAATGTTCTATAAATAATATGTATTCCAGGAGTGGATGAGACCTGGAGTCCATCTGTGGCAAGCGTAGCAGAACGCGAGTTGACCGCTCTGTTAAGCGCCCACCGTCTCCGGATAGAAGTATCTACATATCCACCTGCTACCAATCTCCATACCCTCGAAACGTTTCCAGCCAAGGCGATAGACCCTCGTATGAACGACGAGTGGAATGCATTTGTGGCAGCTAATCATGGCCAGGCTCAAATACTATCACTTCGTATAGCTTTTTTAGCATTATTAAATCTTTTACAAAGATATAACCAGTATTTTTAATTAACACATTTTTTTTATTATATATAACTAGCTTTTACACGCGGCTTCACTCGTATGGATTCCATTAAAAAAAGTTTTTCAAATCAAAAATATCCTATGTTCATTCTAATACCTCCAAGATCATGTGTAGAAAATTTCATCATTCATTCATTTCATCATGATCACTTCAGTATTTTTTTCGTGAAATCGTAAGAAATATCCCTACTTTTACATTTATAATATTAGTAAGTATGGTGAACCTGCTTGCGCTAATGGTATATATATATATAACGGGGCCCCAATAGGATGATAGGATGAGGATGAAGTAAGATCAGTCAGCCCATCGTGGTTAATTCACCAGTAATAAACCAGGATAGTTTCAAGGAAGGACCTTCAGGACCGTCAGGTTGACCTACGCAATCAACCTGACAGGACATTGGTAACAATGGGTTCACTAATTTCCCCTCAACGAAAACATTATGGCTCCATTCATGAATGACGTTAAGGTTGGTCATTGCCGACAAAGTATGGAATGATATTACAAGAGATTACAAACATTGCGTAAAATGTCATAAATTTTGAAGCCGTCATCCCGTTCCTGGGAGAATGGATTTCATACATTTTGTAGCGTCAAATTTCAACTTTAGTATTAAAGAACTAAAATTTAAGAGCTGTGACAGTGGCAGGAAAAATAATTAAATTACTGTAACGTAATTTATTGTCCCCATACTGTGAAATTCATCTCATCTAGCTACCTACCTATGTATATCTATAAATAGGTATGTATGTGTAGATATATATATTTTTGTGAATGATTATAATATACATAGAATACCGAGGTCGATACAAACAATTATGAATACAAATGTATGTACGGGGAAACAAACCACGACCATTGGCAGTAAGACGGTGAGCTAAACCAATAGACCAAAGAGGCCGTCTATAAAATAATCGAATGTTTTCTTTTTATAATGTTAGTTTACACTGCACGTGACAATCCTGGAGTAAAATTCCAGACTCTCCATTGACATTGCCGTATAACAACAATTATACAGTTAGGCACCATTGAGATAATTACATTGCGATGCACACAATAATGTACGTTATTATATTGCATGTTCCAGTATGTATTGATGATCGTCATCAGCAATAGGATAATTTTGCCTCGTTAATCACTGAGACAGATTCGATAGTAATTGCATCAAATCAGTTTGTATTGAATGCGTTGATTACTACATTTCTAAATTAATTAATAACTGAATATAACCTGACCTACTAGATCTGTAGTTCTCAACCAGACGTGGTGCGTAGAAACCAAAATATGGTTCGAAAATGATTTTAAATTTAGCATCCCCTGGTCGCCTGACAGTGAATGAAAAGAGCGTGAATGAGCTTGATTATCTAGCTTTGAGTAACAGTGTTGTAATTTTCATAGTTTATTGTTGGCTATATAATCCGATGATGATCATGAAACTAAAGTTTTGTGTTAGATCATTCACGCGGCTTTGTCTATTTTTTTCATTGCATCTTGCACATTTTCACGGTAGTTAAAAATATTTTTTTACTTGTTACATCAGAAAATTTCATCAATGTATTACTTAAATTGAGTAATTTATACCTATGCTCAGGAAATACAATCCATTGCGTGTGTATATAGCTGTAATGTTAAATATTTTTGTTTTAAAAAATAATTTTCTCGATACCGAAAAGCTAAAAGCAAGGTAAAGAATAGGTTTAGCACCATCTATCGGCACGCGCGTAATCTGCACTGCGGGCGGACAGATGTCGTTGTGTGCGCACCAATTGATTACGCGGAGGGAGAGCCGCTGGCAGAGCCATTATTTAATTATTTATTCGCCGCGCGAGCCGCGGGCCGGAGGTCGGTCGTGGTTTAGTGTGCGGGGCCGGCGCGTCTCCCCGTCCAGTGTTGTTATATCGTATCACTACCCGTGTTTCAAGTGACTATTATGAGCGACAGGGACAGGTCGTCGCCCTCCCTCACGGACACCCCGCTGAAGACGTACATCGGCCGCCACGACGACGACTACCCCCTTATAAACGGAAACGGTAAGTAACCCTTCGATGTTAAGTGCTGAGCGAAGCGGTGCTGGTGTTATGGTGCGCGTGCAGAGATTTTGCGGGTGCGCGTGCAGATTCGGCGGGCGCGCGGCCGTGGGCGCGCATCACGCGCTCAGCCCCGCGTGCTTTGCACGAGCAGCGCGACGACGGTAAGCACCAGGGCAGTGGGTCAGCGCGTCGACCGCTCACCGCGCTGCGGATCCCGCAAGCGATAAACTTTGCCGCATTGAAGTTCACCGCAGGTTCGATCGACCCGCCGGTGGCCCCTTCCCGAAATTTGTATACCTATAGGTACATACGACTAGCTGTAGTGGGCACACGAACGAAATCGGTAGCTTTCTGCTGTTTTTGGAGACCGCAGGTGGATGCAATGTAGTAATCACAAAGTCAGCCGGCCGGGTATTGAGTACTCTTGTTATGGTGAAGTGCTGGCGCTTGCAGAGAAAGCGAGAGGGGTGGTTTGATGCGGTTTCCAGCTGTCGCGGATCGATACGGGGTGACCTTAGTTCTTAAAGTCGAGTTTTTGGGAATGTTATCGCAAGATAACTGACGCAACTACCGACACAACACGACACAGCGCACACGACGGCCTAAACTAAAATCTCCAACAATAAATACGTCTCACGTGATCTGTACTACACTATATGTTACTCCGAAATTTATCGTTCATTGTAGCTTATTAATAAAGAAATATTCACTTGTGCTGGTCTTTAAAATGTTATTAACTATTTAAGTCAGTTGTTTCATATAGCGCGGCAGTGAAATCATTTGTAAGTTATCGTGAAAACTTATATTCTGAATTCCAAACTACCGTTTAACTAACTATATTTAGACACCTGGAAGTGTTAAATTGCGTTTTCGGGCATTCCTAAAAAAGCACCGTCGAATATAGAGCAGTAGAACAGATTCACACAATCTGGATAGCTGCGATTGTAATTTGTATCGTTAATAGTTTTATAAAGTGTATATTACAAATACATATTTACAAAGAGGTAATCGTTAATCGTAGGAATTCAATTGTTGTTACGAGAATACATGTGCCTATATAAACACGGCAGTTTTCACTTTTACCTGCATGCAGTCCTAGGCACAACAGGAAAACATTATTTATATGAACAAACTTGATACTTGGGATTTCCTTATTTTATGACACAATTATCAAAAAGACACTCTTTTTAATACACTAACCGCATATTAAATCTCAATCAATTTACTATTAAAATATTCAGTGCATGTAAAATACGTAGAAGTCAAACATAACTCGAATAATTCAATTGTACAAACTGAAACTACGATAAAAATGTCTCCTATGTTGTATATAATTTCATTAATAAATCTAATATATTAATTGATACACGTGTCGCATGTCACAGGCAGTAAAATAAAAATAGCAGAGTTACAAAAATAGATACAGCAGACATTCACGTGGTTATTCCATATTGCTTTATTTTTGCAGTTACGGTACAGTTAGTACGCTAAAAATAATTTTATTGATGTTGTTTATATTATTCTTTTCATTTATAAAACAAATAATCTTCAGGATGGACGGAAGCTATTAAATAATACTTCTAATGAATAAATAATTTTGTGCATTATACAAACTGCTTTGCCTGGTGTGGTATGGTAATTTTTTATATTAGTATATAGAAAATGACCAAATTCTCGTTAAAATGAAATGAATAAACAAAAGTTTACATTTTTCACGTGTCAGTACAATGTTTCAAACGTTTTAAAGCAACAAAAATTGCAATATATACCGATATACGCAGAGTATGTATTAAGATTTTTCTTCTAAAATATTACATGAAAGTGTATATAAATATCCTGAACGGTCAATAGCCGATCTAATCAGTTACTGACAGGACAACTACCCGCGTCTCTGAAAACGTATCAGTACAGTGTTTACATTTTGATACGCTTTACGTAGAAATGTCTACAAAGTGTAAAAAAAATCTATGCGATTTTTTGCTAAAATAGCACTTAATAAAAAAAACTTTTACTTTTAATCAGAAATCAATTTAATATTTGTACATAATCACTTAATACGCAATTTTTAATGGTTTTTTTTATTCTACCGCCGCATTCGCCAACATATCTAAATATAAAAAGACGGTATAAGAAGATATAATACATATAAAAATTATGTACGATAGAATCATTAAATTGGAAAAGAATTTATGATAATTTAAACATACAATTGCAATAAATACATAACAAAATTCGTAGTGACCAAGCATACTAATCTATAAGTAGCACTCGTTCACGAGTATTTTTTGCATCGAGACTTGATTTGATATGATCTATGATTTTGTTGAGAGATTATTCTAACAGGATAGAATGTACTTATGTGGTAGTAAAGTTACGTGGTAGTAGGGCATAGATAATCATTTTTCGAGAATCTATTAAAAGGGGTCGATTCTAAAAGAAAAAAATCTACTAGTTATACATATATTCACCAGAATGGTACCTACAACATGGTATTATAGGCCTATATTGTAGAAATACGACCGAATTATTTAGACATTGATAAATAAATATGTATAAGTTGATTAGATACTTATTCGCATATTTAAAGCATAACTCGATTTAAACTGAAGTCCAAAGTCTATAGAAGTACAGTGTCTCGATGTATTTCGAGTAAACACAATATTATATTTTACTTGACTGAAACTCTCACCTCGTTCTTGCCAAAAGCGTTAACTATTAGCATTTCGTTTTTTTTATATTGTCATATTATTTAATGTATATACATATATATATATACTTTAGACAATAATAATCTCAGATGGGGTAGTCATATATGATTGTCATATTCCAGGTGTTTACTGGAAAGTAGATCAGTAAAATACAAAAAGTATTTTCTGTTCGGCTAGATTGGAACATGTTTTAGCTCTATTTAGTCAGAACAGTACATTAGTAGGACATAATGGCCATACAATTATTTCAACTGTCAATTTACCACGTATTACCATATTGCAATGACTTGACCTAACTGGCCGAGGTGTACAATTAACTAAACTATTAAACTTAAGGATTAATAATGGATGATGCACTGACAACAACATTGGGAATTAGTAATCTACGATAGAATGAGCAAAGTTTACGCTGATACTATCTATAATTTATAATGATTAGATACTTGGGCATAATTAGAAAATATTTATTGAAGTAACAATATCGTATTATAATAATTTAGTGCGACGGAAATGTATTGTTACGAGCAGGGATATAATTTACTGGTATAACTTGAAACATTAATTAGCATGATTAACTATAACAATATTGAGCGCAAGTAGGCAAAGTACAACATCTGTTCCCGATCTCTAATTAAATATAAGTAAATGAATATTTGAATTCCTGATTTCTTTTATTACATCCATAATATTTTATAAGCGACGTATTAATGGCTAGACGACGACATTTGAAATTTTATAAAATTTGAAAAATGCGTAAGCTATGTATGTATAGTATTACAAATAAATTATTTATTTTATACATAAATAAAAATTATATTTCAATAAAGGGACTAAAATTAATTACATTAATAATTACATAAATAAATGATTATTTTATTATTATACATTTTTCAAGTTACAGTTAATTTAAAGTAAAATATAATAAATATTTTTCAAATTAAGTATCTAATAATAATTACAATATAAATGAACATCCTCTCTCTTTTAAACACAATAACTGAAGGTCTGAAATAATTTTGAGATGCTTACATGGTTTGATAATCATCGTACATTAGTTTTATTTTAATTGTATGAATTCATAAAAATATATAATAAAAAGCCTTAATATCGAATTAAAAATATTTATAAAATAGGTATATATATTTATAATTGTCATATAACATTATTTCATAGTACACTTAAGGATATACCAAGTTCTCTTTTTAAGCATGAAAGAGAATTTTGTATTTTAATTACCGCAAATGGAATCCTTTGCACACTACATTTTGTAAAAGAAGTATATTCCTAATAGTATAATCGTATCGGTACAAAACCGGGACGGATCGCTAAATTTGTTCACGTCTATTCACAAACCTACTAAAAAGACACTCTAGAGGTACAGAATATTCATTTTTTTACCAAACCACTCGTTGCCACGTCTAGAAATTTCTCTGCTTTCATTACTTCGCGAGTCATTTTGGTTTTATTTTTACACTAAGATTAACTATATCGCACGGATATATATACCCGCATGCATTCTAACTGTTGTTCTCTGCTAGTAAAAGAAGTGTCATTAAATAACGTAAATCCTTCTCAGAAATTGGATCATGTTATAATATAATATATAGGTATCTCAAGACAATTAACACAGCGTAATCTATTTCCAAGCAAAGCAGAGCTTGTGTTATGAGTACAAGGTACAAGACAACTGATATAATACTTACATACAATTTTTTGTAAATACATGCATAGAAAATAGCCAGAACGATATAAATAATTCTACTCATAAATACAAATGTTTGCACCGTGTGAGGAATCGAACCCGCGACCGCGATTAGAAAAAGCGGTGTGCTAGTGCTTACAGCTAGACCTCCGACACCATCAGTCATATTTTAATACCTTCTAATTGGCTGTAATTGTAACCAACTTCACAAATGCGCTAACAAATATAGAAATGTTATTGGTGGTAGCTTAAGATTTGTGCATTAAAACAAACAAACCTTTCGGCTTTATTATATTGACATAGATTATTTCAGTGACGTTCAAGATTTGCGACACACAGTTTACGGATATAAGGCGTGGATACACGTAGTAATAATAATTATTATAGAGCACCTCATATCTATACTGCGCCTTATAGATAACGCAAAATTCTTCGAGTAATGGGTGCTCAACTCCATTAGATAACGAGATATCTCTAAAGATTAGTTCAAAACTAATAATATAGTAAAAATAATCAAAGCACCGACCACTGTGGTGCTTAAAATTTTAGCAAAGTTTATCATTTTAAATCCATTTAGACAGTTTTCGTAC